TTGAAGTCTCTTTAATCAGGACCTAAAGAATAGTATTTTTTTCTTAAAAATGGTGCAGATGGTATTAGTTTCAGCTGAATTATAGTCTAATCTTTAATCATTACAGAACTTTTTTTTTGCTGACTTAATATGGTTTGAGATTCTTTCTGACTATCTAAGATTTGCCAGGCATGTGGGAGGAAGGCTGGGTCTGCATCTCTCTGAGATGTGAACAGTGGCTAAATGAGCTCAAACACTCAGGCGTTATTTTACTCCTGCTATCTCATTCAATTACAGTACATTAGTCACTCATCCCTACAGCAGTGCTCGGGGGAAAAACTATGACAGCATTGGTAAAGACAATAGAATAGCCTCTTTATTGGCAATAATAAGGCACTGTTATCTTTGTCCACTTATGCTGCTTTGCTGACTTAAATTTAAATCAATTTTCTAAATTTCAGATTCATCAGTGAGAGACAGCTGTCACATCCACATTAATGATGACAATCGTACACATAATTCTTATGATCATACACATACATATGGCCCAAAGACTAATATGACTAAGACTAACAGTGCACTCTCAGAAAATAAAAATGGTGCAAAAGTTGGGACGGTATTAATATGTACACTTTAGGTATTATGTATCTATTAGGTACTAATATGAATCATTCAGGGCTAAACAAAGTACAAAGGTTTACCGACCCAGTAACAGATTTTGTACCATTTGTTTTCTTGTTTGAATGTAAGACATTCTTCTATGATTATATAATGACAGTACCATGTACAGCTCTTGTTGTCATTAGTCACAGATTATCCTGAAACATGTGTAAGTAACAAAGGCTTATGAAGTGCCAGATGATAGCAGGAAATTTATTATTTCTATGGTTGAAATTGTTGAACATTTACAATATCATTAAAAGTTTAAAATGTAATTGAGTCCTGTGATAGCAAAGTTGTCCTGCTTAATGTTTTTGTTATATATATATATATATATATATATATATATACACACACAAACAGGATGTAGACAATTTAAAATAATCACATTTTATTTAAAATAATCACATTTTGTTGCTTTGCAGCCTGAAATGAAGACACACAGAGTTTTTGTTTTATCCAGCTATATTTACTGAGTGCAACTTATAACATCCAAGTGAACGATAACACCAACATGTCAGAAAAGGAAGAAAAAAAAATCAGAGTTGGAAAAAGGATCACCCCCTTCTGTCAGTATTTTGTTAAACCACCTTTTGCATTAATTACAGCCTTTAGTCTGTTGGGATATGTCTCTACTAACTTTGCACCTCTAGACTTTGCGATATTTGCCCACTCAAGTTCAGTTAAATTTGATGACCATTTGTGGACTGCAGACTTCAAGTCATTTCACAGATTTTTAAGGGGGTTTAAGTCTGGGCTCTGACTAGGCCATGCAAGGACATTCACATTCATTTTCTCATTCAACCACTGTGTGCTCAGTTTTGCTGTGTGCTTTGGGTCATAGACATGTTGGAAGGTATACCTTCTTCCCATTGACATCTTTCTGGCAGAGGGCAGCAGATTTTCCTCAAGAATCTGTTTTCTGTCAAAAAATCCATTTTTCCTTCTATTCTGATAAGTGCTCCAGTCCCTGCTGCAGAGAAACACCCCCATAACAGGATATTACCACCTCCAGGCTTTACTGTAGGAATGGTGTTAATTGGATGGTGAGCTCTATTGGATTTCCGCCAGACATATCATTTGGTGTTGATGCCAAATAATTCAACTTTAGTCTCATCGGTCTCAGAATCTTCAAGGTGTGTTTTGGCAAAGCTCAGTTGTGACTGCATGTGGCCTTTCTTGAGGAGTGGCTTTTTTTCTTGCAGCCCTCCCATACAAGCCACATTTGTTGAGCATTTGTAATATTGTTGTCAAATGCACACAATAACCACTCTTTGTCATAAATTCCTGCAACTGCTTCAGAGTTGCTGTAGGCCTCTTGGTAGCCTCTCTGACCAGTTTCCTCCTGGCTCTTTCATCCAGTTTGGAGTGACGTCCCGATCCAGGGAGGGTCTGTGTTGTACCAAATATCTTCCACTTCTTAATAATAGACTTCATTGTGCTTCTAGACATTGATAAAGCCTTTGCATTTTTTGTATCTATCTCCTGACTTGTGCCTGTCAGTGTTGCCAACTGCTTTCAGAATGAATCAGAATCAGAATCAGAATGAGTTTTTATTGCCAGGTATGTTTACACATACGAGGAATTTGTTTTCATGACAGAAGCTCCACAGTGTAACAGAATGACAGTGACAGAACAAAAACACAGATAATAAAAAATAGAAAAATAGAACAAGTAACTAAGGAATAAAAATATACAAATCGACAATTGTATGTACAGGTATATAACAATAGACAGTTGTATGTACAGGTATATTATGTGCAAATTGAAATGTAGACTGAGTATGAGTGTTAGATAAATAAGTGTATGAGTGAATAAATAGTGTCTGTTCCACAGTTATTGTCAAGTGTTCATGAGATGGATGGCCTGAGGGAAGAAACTGTTCCGGTGTCTGGTCGTTCTGGTGCTCAGAGCTCTGTAGCGTCGACCAGATGGCAACAGTGCAAAGAGGGAGTGTGCTGGATGTGAGGGGTCCAGAGTGATTCTGCCAGCCCTTTTGCTCACTCTGGACGAGTACAGTTCTTGGAGAGAAGGGAGGGTTGTACCAATGATTCGCTCAGCAGTCCGGACTACCCTCTGAAGTCTTCTGAGGTCAGACTTGGTAGCTGAGCTGAACCAGACAGTTATTGAAGTGCAGAGGACAGATTCAATAATGGCGGATCTAACTCTAACACTTTCTATTCGATTTCTACTCTATTTCAATTTCTATTCTATCTACTTGTTTTAAGTAGTTTTTCTTTGTGTGTGTATGTGTGTGAGTGTTTATGTGTGTATTATTTATTTATATATATATATACATATATACACACCTTGCTATGTGTACTGCGTTAGGCTAACCGAGACTTGTCATTTGCACATATATTGTTGCTCTTTCGTTAGTTTTGACTGCTTTTATTGTCCTCATTTGTAAGTCGCTTTGGATAAAAGCATCTGCTAAATGACTAAATGTAAATGAATGTAGATCAGTGGGCAAGATGAGAACTTAAGATAAGGTTTGACCAAGAAGTTGCTATATTTGTCCTTAAACTTTTGGAAAAAAAAGTCTAAAAAGGGGTGGGGAAGTCGCTAAATCTAGCAATTATATTCCATAGATCTTTTGACAGTGCTTTGTCGCCCATAGTTGATTGTTTGTTTCAGTTGCACTACCAAGGACTGAAATACTCCAGGAAAGCTCTTTTCATACTGAGCTAATCAAAATGGCCACAGCTGATCACAGTTGAAAGTCAAATGGCTATTTGTGTGCCATTGAGAAGGTGATTAGCTACACTTGATTGAGTTTACAAGTCATTTTTATGAGGGGTGTGATCCTTTTTCCAACTCAGTGATTCTGGTGCACATAAATCTTTTAGTTTTATCTCACTAAATAACAATATGTACAGTACATAAGGTTTTTATATTTAGTGAAGAAAACCTGAGTAATTCTTGCCAGTGCAAAACTCAAGGCACACCATTTAACATTGATATTCATATCTATAGCACAAATAATAAGGAATGAGTTATATTCTGAATTTTAATATTAAGTTAAAAAAAATATTTAGCAGTTGTTTTTATCGACAACGACAAATGAGATAATAGGACAGCTATTTTTTTAAATAGCACAATACGCACAATTGTAGCATCAAGTTTTATTTTCAAGAATACAAAAACATAACTCTCCAGTTAATTTTATACAGTGCTATGTTGACTTCATAAATCACTGGATAAAATGTATACACATTTTTCCCGATATTTGGATTGCCTGCTCAAAATATTTAGGTTTAACTAGGCAAACAGCCAAGAGCCCTTTGAACAAAAGTTGTAACATACACACTGTAGGCCACTGCACTTCCCATTCAAACTGACGAGTCCTTAACCATCTTCAAGAAACGACTACAAACACATCTGTTCCACCTTTATTTGACCCTCTAACTCTAACACTTTCTATTCGATTTCTACTCTATTTCAATTTCTATTCTATCTACTTGTTTTAAGTAGTTTTTCTTTGTGTGTGTATGTGTGTGAGTGTTTATGTGTGTATTATTTATTTATATATATATATACATATATACACACCTTGCTATGTGTACTGCGTTAGGCTAACCGAGACTTGTCATTTGCACATATATTGTTGCTCTTTCGTTAGTTTTGACTGCTTTTATTGTCCTCATTTGTAAGTCGCTTTGGATAAAAGCATCTGCTAAATGACTAAATGTAAATGAATGTAGATCAGTGGGCAAGATGAGAACTTAAGATAAGGTTTGACCAAGAAGTTGCTATATTTGTCCTTAAACTTTTGGAAAAAAAAGTCTAAAAAGGGGTGGGGAAGTCGCTAAATCTAGCAATTATATTCCATAGATCTTTTGACAGTGCTTTGTCGCCCATAGTTGATTGTTTGTTTCAGTTGCACTACCAAGGACTGAAATACTCCAGGAAAGCTCTTTTCATACTGAGCTAATCAAAATGGCCACAGCTGATCACAGTTGAAAGTCAAATGGCTATTTGTGTGCCATTGAGAAGGTGATTAGCTACACTTGATTGAGTTTACAAGTCATTTTTATGAGGGGTGTGATCCTTTTTCCAACTCAGTGATTCTGGTGCACATAAATCTTTTAGTTTTATCTCACTAAATAACAATATGTACAGTACATAAGGTTTTTATATTTAGTGAAGAAAACCTGAGTAATTCTTGCCAGTGCAAAACTCAAGGCACACCATTTAACATTGATATTCATATCTATAGCACAAATAATAAGGAATGAGTTATATTCTGAATTTTAATATTAAGTTAAAAAAAAAATTTAGCAGTTGTTTTTATCGACAACGACAAATGAGATAATAGGACAGCTATTTTTTTAAATAGCACAATACGCACAATTGTAGCATCAAGTTTTATTTTCAAGAATACAAAAACATAACTCTCCAGTTAATTTTATACAGTGCTATGTTGACTTCATAAATCACTGGATAAAATGTATACACATTTTTCCCGATATTTGGATTGCCTGCTCAAAATATTTAGGTTTAACTAGGCAAACAGCCAAGAGCCCTTTGAACAAAAGTTGTAACATACACACTGTAGGCCACTGCACTTCCCATTCAAACTGACTACATCAAATAAAATATCAGCGTAGAATGTGCACTGCTCACATCATGTAACAGTGCATTTTTGCAGGCTTAAAATATAATCACACCATTCTTTTATTTCCATTCAATACCGTTAAACGATTCAGTCTTAGTGGCACACTTTGACTCAGTGTCAATGGTATAATTCAGACTGCAGTACAAGTCAATAAAACTACTATCACAGTGTTAACATGACTACAGCGTGACAATCACTCTTTGGTTTTTATTAATTGACGTTCTGCCCATTCTTGCCATCCGCCTGGATAATGCTGAACCCTACAAAAGCAGAGAGTAAATTAGACAACTAAAGCAAACAGAACATCAATATACAGTATATAGCCTATTGATCTTAAACTGGTTTAAATGTGCAATTTCTTTTATTTCTTCTTCAGAAAAAAACATTTTCTATTATGCATTTCATAAAAGCATTTATCATACGTATGCCATTGAAGAATTTGTTTATTGTTTTTGTTCTACCATTTTTGCAATTGAAATATAAGTGAACTGCATTTCAAAAGTTAATATTTTCATAAAATATAGTTGGGAAAATGCAACATTTGCTTTTGGCCTATGTCCCTCAATCAGGTTTGATTTTGGCTCATTGTAGTAAAAAGTCTGGGCAGCCCTGCATTAAAGTATCATTAGATTCACATAACCTACATTTGAATGTACTTGAGAAGTCGTCCTTTTCAAGAATGAAACTTTGTGTAAAGAGGCAAAGAAACAATCACTTGCTGTGTAATAAGCATAACTGCTCACTTGGTGTATCCTAAAGACACTGCAGTTTCCAGGGCTGTTTTGCTTCTTACACCCGCTAGGCAGGAGAACACTATATTTTGAGAGTGTGATGGCATGTCTCCTCCGTATTTCTCCTTGAATTCATCAGGCTTGAGCTGGAGAGCGGAGTTCACCTGGCCCACTGCAGAAGAGAGGGTACAGTATTATAATTTATATAATGTGCCTTTAAATAAACAGTATACGGATTAGGCCGTGCATTGACTCACATGGCACGTTAATTGACCCCGGTATGTTCCCGTATTCCCTGAGTTCCCACGGCTCACGGACGTCTATAACTACACTGGATTCGGACAGCAGCAGTTTCTTCAGCTGCTCGTTGGACACATCTACTGAAGGCTGACTTGAAGAGCTGAAACTTCGTAATGAAGTACCATCATAACGAATGACACGGATGTCTGAAAGACAGATAAGACACATTTGACCAACAGAGGCCGTTCTTCTGCTACACGTACAGTTGTCATGTGATATTTCCCCTTTAAAAAGAAGTGTCCCCTTTAGAACAAAATCAGTTTTTAAAGTAACGTTACTTATTACAGTCCAAACTTTTCCAAATACTCGGAGACAGAAATCACATATGTCAAATCGGTAAAGATAAATGGAAGAGTCACAGTGATTTCTTTCAGAACTATCGATGTTAAGCACGGTATATTACATTTAACTGTTAAATAGGCCTATCAATGCAATATTTCAACACTCACGCTGTAAGCAACGCAAATATGTCCTGCATGAAGTAGTTGCCAGTCGTCTTGTAACAGGATTGACACTTCTGCTCGCTAAAACACGGACAATACTCCTCGTTAGCCGTGAAGAGACATTTAACGCCATGCTAGGATTTATGGTAATGAAAGCTACACGATGACGATGCTCCTTATTTCTTGTTTTGTATTTAAATATGGACGAAAACACGGTGGGACTGACTGTAGGTTACCTAGCTGGATCGCAGCTACCCACTACTCTTGCACGCATGCGCACAACTACAACTACGTATTAGCAGTGACGTAAGCTACTCTTCTTTTGCGCCCCAAACTCGTATGCAAAATTTTCTTGGAATATATTCATGTCTCGCTTCCCTGTTTCTGTATGTTTCTACAAGTATGCAAAACCCTTCCCTCATAGTCATAATATGTGAATCTTCTGTTCGTCATGGTTTTTTAATGGTATGAATTTTCAACATATATGTAGAGAGGAATTTTTTTTTTCAATTCGTCAGTTATGGTTATGCCGTTGACAGGGGACTATCCTGTCTAAACTGTATTCCAATGCTGTCCTCTCAGTATACATGTCGTTCATAAAGCCTAGGACTGCTACTGACTGTAATGTCAACCCACTGAGATAACTGAGATGGAAAAAATACTTGGGTGCAGTGTTGAGGGTAACGCATCACAAGTAACGCGAGTTACGTAATCAGATTACTTTTCAAGTAACTAGTAAAGTAACGCATTACTTTTTAATTTACAAGAGAATATCAATTTATTGATTGACAGCTCTCCTGTCCCCATGTTGAGAGAAATCAGATGTTACTGTAGTTCTAAAATAAATATGAATATGTATTACATTAATTCATATCACTCACAAAAAAAACACAGATTCAGTACTCCTCAAAATGAATTTAAAAAATGCAACTCAGAATATGACACAAACCTGCAATAATTAAATGTTAAGCAACACAAATATCCTTTATGTATTTAATCCCATTCTATTAACCAATGTCTTTGCTTCTGACCTTCGATGATCCAGTTCAACCGTAATAATAAGCAAAAATTACTCTAGACAAACATTTGTGTGTCTTTTTTTATTGCTGAAGTGTGTTGAAATGTCATCTTCTGCATTCTACTGTACGGACGTAAATTTACATTTCCTTCAGCCTGAGGCTTATTCATTTCACTTTTGGTGTGAAAAGGCTTTTATATTTGCCAAAAATATAACTTTTTTTTTATTTGAAAAACAAATAAGCCCTGTCCAGATTTAAAAAGTAACGCAAAAGTAACGTAACGCATTACTTTCCATAAAAAGTAACTAAGTAACGTAATTAGTTATTTTTTTATGGAGTAACGCAATATTGTAATGCATTACTTTTAAAAGTAACTTTCCCCAACACTGCTTAGGTGTGTAAATAGATTATCTTAATTCCATAGTTTTAAACTGTATGTTCTACAGTTTAAAGTATAAATAAACATTTGTTGAGGGGCAAAATCAGAATACGAAATATAATGTAAGTTTACATGTTGTGTGTCTTGAGTTTTGCAGGTTGTAGACTTTTAGTTAGATTGGATTGTTTTAAAATAATTATTTATTTTTTTTAGGGATATTTTTTAGCTTTTTAGTTTTATTTTAATGTTTTATTCTTATTTTTAAGTCATTTTTAGCCTTTTATTTACATTTTAAAGCAGTTTTTAGCCTTTTGGGTAAATAATGGATTGTTTGAATATAATTCTTTTAAATTGAAAGTCATTTTGCACCCACCTTGGAAGTTTGCTGAGACCCTCTAGTGAGCCCTGCCCTCCAGACATATGTGTTGTTTGATAATAGAGTTTTAGGCTTTAAAAACACAATTTTAACTGTGCTGTGGGCTCTCATTCTTACTGAGTGACTTTTTTCCTAGATACAAATGCGGCTGAAAGACCCCTTCTCTTTAAAAACCGCAGACATGACCAAGCGGTCTAAGAAGCCTCGCGATGAAGACTCGTCTGACGAGGTTGGCGGTAAGAAAAGGTTTCAATGTAATTTCTCATGCCAGTACATTAGTCATGGGCTGCTTGATACTCATTGTAAAAATCACAGAGAAGCATCCAAAGCATTTATCAGGCATTAAGGATTTATCGTGCATGTAGTTTATTCCGATTCAGGTTGTGGATTTACCAGTGCTCGCATAGAATTGTAAACTCTATAGATGCATTCTAGATGTATATTTTGGTGTCATCTAGGATTGCCTTGTCAGCATGTGAGCAGAGCAGTGGACCTCAGCTCAGTGAAGAAGGCAGTGACAGGCAACCTGTGGTCGGTGTGCTCCGATTGCCTTAAAGAGAGGAACATGCTTGAGGGAGAAGCAGCAGGAGCACATGACGTTCTCGTGTGCCTCAAGTGTGGGTTCCAGGTGAGATCTTCTCACCCTGCAGCACTAATATATTGTGTTACAATATAGGCAGTTTTGTCAGTGTGCAGTGACCGGTTGTTTGCGGCTTATTCACATTTCACAAACATATGAAACTTGACTTCCATAACAGACAATTTATTATAGGATATTTGCACACAAAGCAAGAATAACTGACAAGATATTTAAAACACTTTTAAGGCATTTTTATATGCTTAAATTCACACTGATTTGTCAAATATGTAAAAGTTAAAAAAAAAAAATTTTTTTTTGAAAGAAATCTCTTCTGCTCATCAAGCCTGCATTAATTAGATTAAAACCAATAAAATTGTAAAAAAATATTACAATTCAAAATAACTGTTTTCTATTTTAATATATGAGATAACATTTATAAATAACATCCTTCAAAAATCATTCTAATATGCTGATTTGGTGCTCAAGAAACGTTTCTTACTATTATCAATGTTGAAAAGAGTTTAATTGTTTTGTAGAAACTAAGATCCACATCAGGATTCTATGATGAATGGAAAGTTCAAAATAACAGCATTTATTTGAAATATGTCCTGGCTGAATAAAAGTGGCAATTTATTTAAAAAATAAATAAATAAACTTTTGGGAAAAAAGAAGTAAAAAAATTTAGGCTGGGTATGCTAAAAAGGTCATATTATTCACTGACCCCTGGTCATGCAGCATTTTCTAAAAGCAATTTGAGTGTCCCTACTGTTTCCTTTGCGTTTTACCCACAGTTGTTGTATGGGTCGTTTAAGCCATGACAGCACATTAAGGACCAGTTATGGCAGAGGTTTGTTTGGCCTTGCGTTGACAGTGGGGAAAAAAAAAAGATTTGTTTGCAGTCAGTTGATTTTGACTGACTGCAGAACTGGAAAAATTTTTTTTCAAAGAATTATACAAAAACTTGTCCAAAACTGCTTTTTTCCCCCACAGGAAATAATATATGGAAACCTTGATATTGTGTCTCTCTGTTTCAGGGTTGTAACCAGGCGGAAACTCAGCATTCCACAAAACACCAGCAAGCTCATCACTCTGACTCTCACTGTATCACCGTCAGCCTCAGTACATGGAAGGCATGGTAGGAAACATCAACTGATGATGCTGTATTTTACAATTTTTTTTGTCCTTATGCATTTTGTGAAAGATCACCATATACACAAAAGTTTGGAGTCTGAATGATCTTTTTTAAAAAAGAAATCAACACTTTTATTTAGCAAGTTTGCTTCAAATTGATAATAAAAGTGACAGTAAAGGCATTTACATTATTACAACAATTTTTGTTTTATTTATTTATTTTTAAAATGCTGTTCTTTTGAACTTTTTATTCACCAAAAATCATGGTTTCCACTAAATTATTAAGCAGCACAACTGTTTTCAACATTGATAATTATAATAATAAAAAAAATGTTCCTTGAGCACCAAATCAGCATATTAAAATGATTTCTGAAGACTAGGAAAATAGCTCCTGAAAATTGCGCTTTGCCATCGCAGAAATAAATTGCATTTTAAAATCTGTTTAAATAGAAAACAGTTCTTTTAAATCATAAAATATCTCACAACATTACGATTTTATTGTATTTTTGATGTTAATAAATGCCTTGGTGAGCGTAAGAGACTGAAAGGGTAGTGTATTATCTTTTGACATAAAGGGCATAATAGATTGTATTTTGATGATTGTTTTACTCTTCTGTGATAGGTGCTTTGAATGTAAGGAAGAGCTCTCCACTCACTGCAATAAGAAAGCCCTGGCTCAGACACTGGACTTCCTGCAGAAGCACTCAGCTAAGGCCACCTCAGGTATTTATTCCACAGGAAAACAAGCAGAAGTGTGACTTTATCTTTAATTATAGGAAAACACCTTGTTTTTTTCATCTGCTAATAGTAGTGACAGTCCTATATGCTGTTGTGTAGATTCGCTGACGATAAAACTAGAAAATGTCCTTGTTTACAGTGCTGTAGGGAGCTGATTTCTTATATGGCTCTTTTAGAAGCTCCTCCTTGTTTCTCTGTACACAGCAATGTCATGTTGGCTCATCTGTCGGTTACTGGTCTTTAGTTTTCCAGATACAATGAGGGGACATACGTTTCATCACACAGTCTTTAGGAAACCTAAAAGCACTGTGATACTTCATAGACAAAAAAAAATCTGCTATGTTTTCTTTAGTGTCCTCTCCTGTATTCCTGTATCAGTTTTGTTTGTATAGCACTTTTTTTTTTATTTATTTTTTTTATACAATATATGAGTGTTTTTACAGTTGAAATAGATAACCTTGGGTCATTCTAAACCCTGGGTAAATGGAATCCTGAGTTATTTTGTCTCACTTTTCACACCGCTCATTCACATGGCTGATAGTCTCTGTCAGAGATTTATTCATAGAAATATTGTAGAGCACACTATTATGTTGCCACATTCAAATAAAGATTTTAAAATGCAGGATAAATGTCACTAATTAAACAAGTATATGTTCAGTTTATTGTCAGCCTCTTGCATGTATGCTTCTCAAAAAAAAAAAAAATGCGGATATGCATATAAACAATCTTTTAATAACAGAGTAGAATACTCCTGGCTGATAGTAATACATGCAAACGTGTAAAAAAAAAAACCTGGATGCAAGAACAGCTGTTACTTCTTGCCCAACTGGTTAATGAAAACAAATATAATCAAAAGAAAATTATTTGTTCCAAAACCAAATTATTCCCAAACCAAAGGTGATACTTTTTTAAAAGTTCATTATCATCAAATGTTTCAAAAATGTTTGCGTTCAGAGGCAGATTGCAGACAACAGCCATTTTAAGGAATAGGAGTCCTCTTCACTACTCCTAACGTTTCACAGATTTAGGAGCTAGTTTTAGTGCTAAAACTCTTTGTGAAATACTCTAAATTTAGGACTGACACGCCCATTATTTTCTCCTAAATCGGCGAGGTATGAGCTACTTTTAGCCTTAAGATGTTTTGTGAAAAAGGGCCCAGGTCTATGATCAAGTGGTCTTTTTTATTATTATTATTATTTTTTTTGATGAATCTGTCTTGTGGGTCATTTTTCACTCCAAAATCAGAAGAAAAAAGTATATTCTTATGGAAGAAAATTAACCATTTTAACATTGTGACATTGTTCTAATGACATTGTGCTTTATTATCATAAAAATAATGGCACAGTGTACACTACCGTTCAGATGTTTGGGCACAGGACGTTTTTTTTTTTTTGAAGGAAATTAATACTTTTGATTAGCAAGGATGCATTAAATTGATCAAAATGGACAGTAAAGACATTGATAATGTTACGGAAGATTTCTGTTTCAAATAAATGCTGTTCTTTTGAACTCTCTGTTCATCAGAGAATCCTGGCAAAAATGTATCTTGGTTTCCACAAAAATATTAAGCAGCCACAACGGTTTTCAACATTAATAATAATAATAATAATACATGTTTCTTGAACAACAAAACAGTATTTTAGAATGATTTTTGAAGAATCATGTGACCCTGAAGACTGGAGTAGCAGCTGCTGAAAATTCAGATTTGCCATCACAGAAATAAATTCCACTTTAAAATATATTGAAATAGAAAAAAAGTTTTTTTTAAATGTAGTAATATTCTACAATTGTATTGTTTTACTGTATTTTTAATCAAATAAATACAAGGATACTTCTTTCAGAATCATTTTAAAAATTAAAAATCGATCCCAAACTTTTGAACAGTTAAGACTTTTTTTTGTCCTGTTGTTGTTATATATATTTTTTTGTTTTGTGAATTGGAGTGAATTATGACCTCAGCATGTTCTTGCAAGTTTTAAGATAATTAGTCATGTAAGTCATTAATCTGGTAAAGACTATTTGAAATTGTGAGGACCAGCACAATGGAGTATGATCATGTAGTTGTGAAGGGATTATTGTGAAGAAACCATCTTAATTACTTTCAGTCAGAGCTGTCTGATGTTGTTTTATTTGAGTTTCAACTACATGCCATAAACGACAGCTTGGATTCTCTGGTATGCTATCTTATATACCTTCTCCGTTTGATTTTGACGGTAAATGCTAAAGCACAGTGTCTGTTAAAATTGTAATTTCCCTTTTCAACGATCAGCAAAAGTGTATAAAATTTCACTTTGTCCTTGCACGATGCTTAACAGTCATTGGTTTTGTTTCCGTCCCTGTCCATGCCCTGATGCTCTAGTGTAGCAAAGTCTAGCTCCGTTAAGCCCAGCCTAACTAGTCGACTGCCACTCCAGGGGCAGCCAGGCTCTTGCTGGAGAAGCTGCGCTCCAATTCCGTTACTGCCGCATGGCTACGCTCATTAATGGCATTAGGCGCTTGAGTGGTGCTCCCCGGTCGGATTCCCTGAAGAACGGCTGCAGCTGTGTGGTGGATCCTGAGCTCTGCTCCTCCCCCTGATCTGCCACATCGCCCATGATTCTTTTTCTCTCACTCCGAGCTTCAGGGAGAGGGTCTCGTTTTCTTCAGGAGGGAAGCTTGTTTCAGATATAGAGCATCCTCAGCTGTTGAAAAGCAGTGGATGTTGTGAGAAGGACATTTTGGTTATGAAATAGCTGTGCTGTCACATTTACTCCAAACATATGATTACTTAGCAACTATGCTTGGGAACAAACTTTTATTCTTTCTTGTTGTGGAAAACCAGTCCACTCCATCACATGGCTGATAGTCTCTGTCAGAGATTTATTCATAGAAATATTGTAGAGCACACTATGTTGCCACATTCAAATAAAGATTTTAAAATGCAGGATAAATGTCACTAATTAAACAAGTATATGTTCAGTTTATTGTCAGCCTCTTGCATGTATGCTTCTCAAAAAAAAAAAATGCGGATATGCATATAAACAATCTTTTAATAACAGAGTAGAATACTCCTGGCTGATAGTAATACATGCAAACGTGTAAAAAAAAAAAACCTGGATGCAAGAACAGCTGTTACTTCTTGCCCAACTGGTTAATGAAAACAAATATAATCAAAAGAAAATTATTTGTTCCAAAACCAAATTATTCCCAAACCAAAGGTGATACTTTTTTAAAAGTTCATTATCATCAAATGTTTCAAAAATGTTTGCGTTCAGAGGCAGATTGCAGACAACAGCCATTTTAAGGAATAGGAGTCCTCTTCACTACTCCTAACGTTTCACAGATTTAGGAGCTAGTTTTAGTGCTAAAACTCTTTGTGAAATACTCTAAATTTAGGACTGACACGCCCATTATTTTCTCCTAAATCGGCGAGGTATGAGCTACTTTTAGCCTTAAGATGTTTTGTGAAAAAGGGCCCAGGTCTATGATCAAGTGGTCTTTTTTATTATTATTATTATTTTTTTTGATGAATCTGTCTTGTGGGTCATTTTTCACTCCAAAATCAGAAGAAAAAAGTATATTCTTATGGAAGAAAATTAACCATTTTAACATTGTGACATTGTTCTAATGACATTGTGCTTTATTATCATAAAAATAATGGCACAGTGTACACTACCGTTCAGATGTTTGGGCACAGGACGTTTTTTTTTTTTTGAAGGAAATTAATACTTTTGATTAGCAAGGATGCATTAAATTGATCAAAATGGACAGTAAAGACATTGATAATGTTACGGAAGATTTCTGTTTCAAATAAATGCTGTTCTTTTGAACTCTCTGTTCATCAGAGAATCCTGGCAAAAATGTATCTTGGTTTCCACAAAAATATTAAGCAGCCACAACGGTTTTCAACATTAATAATAATAATAATAATACATGTTTCTTGAACAACAAAACAGTATTTTAGAATGATTTTTGAAGAATCATGTGACCCTGAAGACTGGAGTAGCAGCTGCTGAAAATTCAGATTTGCCATCACAGAAATAAATTCCACTTTAAAATATATTGAAATAGAAAAAAAGTTTTTTTTAAATGTAGTAATATTCTACAATTGTATTGTTTTACTGTATTTTTAATCAAATAAATACAAGGATACTTCTTTCAGAATCATTTTAAAAATTAAAAATCGATCCCAAACTTTTGAACAGTTAAGACTTTTTTTTGTCCTGTTGTTGTTATATATATTTTTTTGTTTTGTGAATTGGAGTGAATTATGACCTCAGCATGTTCTTGCAAGTTTTAAGATAATTAGTCATGTAAGTCATTAATCTGGTAAAGACTATTTGAAATTGTGAGGACCAGCACAATGGAGTATGATCATGTAGTTGTGAAGGGATTATTGTGAAGAAACCATCTTAATTACTTTCAGTCAGAGCTGTCTGATGTTGTTTTATTTGAGTTTCAACTACATGCCATAAACGACAGCTTGGATTCTCTGGTATGCTATCTTCTATACCTTCTCCGTTTGATTTTGACGGTAAATGCTAAAGCACAGTGTCTGTTAAAATTGTAATTTCCCTTTTCAACGATCAGCAAAAGTGTATAAAATTTCACTTTGTCCTTGCACGATGCTTAACAGTCATTGGTTTTGTTTCCGTCCCTGTCCATGCCCTGATGCTCTAGTGTAGCAAAGTCTAGCTCCGTTAAGCCCAGCCTAACTAGTCGACTGCCACTCCAGGGGCAGCCAGGCTCTTGCTGGAGAAGCTGCGCTCCAATTCCGTTACTGCCGCATGGCTACGCTCATTAATGGCATTAGGCGCTTGAGTGGTGCTCCCCGGTCGGATTCCCTGAAGAACGGCTGCAGCTGTGTGGCGGATCCTGAGCTCTGCTCCTCCCCCTGATCTGCCACATCGCCCATGATTCTTTTTCTCTCACTCCGAGCTTCAGGGAGAGGGTCTCGTTTTCTTCAGGAGGGAAGCTTGTTTCAGATATAGAGCATCCTCAGCTGT